GCTATGGGGTGGCGGGGAAGGAGCCGTAAATAAGAAGGATGAGGCATGGTGACTGTGGGGTAGGGTTAGGGGTAGAGGTAGAGATGTCACACGTCACAGCCTTGGAACCATGGTGCAGTGTTTATCTAAGGATGCGTTTGAGAACACTGCTCAGAACATCCTTTAGTTTCCTCTAAATGAAAGCACCTGGGAGAGTTGTTAGGGTCCTATAGAGTACCTGACTCCTGGCCACCAGGAATCTCCTAACTGATCCCACTTTCCTCTTGGCACTAATGGCGAGAAAGCTCAAAGCTAAGTTTGTGGTCTTCTTCTAAAAGGTAGATAGGGCCTTATAGCACTTTGTAACCCATTTTCACCATATTTTCTAAACATTCATTTTCCAATTGCCCTGATTTATTCAATTATTTTTGTCTTTTAAAAATTGACAAAGAATTTCAGATATTTATGGAGCACAATGTGATGTTTTCATGTATGTTTACATTTGGGATGATTTAAATCAAGCAAATTAACGTATCCATTACCTCACCTATCATGTTTTTATGATGTGAATGTTTAAAATCTCTTAGCAATTTTGAAATATGCAATACATTATTATTAATTATCATCACCATGCTGTGCAGATCTCCAAACTTACTTCTAACTGAAACTTGGTACCCTTTGAACAACTTCTCCCTATACCCCACGTCTCCTACTCTCCCTTCCCACCAATTCACTGGCTTTTATTTTATTGTGCATTTTTGTCACCTAAAATCCAATGTAGACCTTTGGAGGTACACATAAATATGCAAAAATAAACTGCTAAATTTACTTTTTAAAAAAGTGTTTACCTTTTTTGACAACAAAATTAGTGATTTTAATTAATATTAAACCTGTCAAAATAAAACATTTAAATAGTTATTCTATATGTATCCCCATGAGAGGTCCTAAGTATCTGCCTTCTGTACATACTACAGACACTTTGGGTACTTACATGAAATTCACACAGCCTGTACCCGCAGGTGGAGCAATCCAGACGAAACTGAGGTTGGTTGTGGGCAGGTGACTCACATGAGAGGCCACCACACTGCACATAAACTGGTTACCAAACTGGTGGTCAGACATGACCCCTGCAAGAAAGGAAGGAGAGCTGTTACAAAGACAACAACGAAACAAAGTCCTTCCTATCGTGGCATCACGGTTTTTTCTAAACATTTTTATTTCATGTTAAGATTTTCTATGCTGTTTGGCCTCTCAGTAAGTTATGTAATTTTTCACTTTTTATTGCTAGAGGGAAATTACTTATTTAAACCATTATTGTTAAAAGAGTGACCTGCTGGAATCGCTGCTATAGTATTTGATGTGCTTTGATTTTGTTGATTGGTTTTTGCCTATGACGAAAAACCACCAGGACCAACCTGCAGTTGAACAAAGTTAGGTTTATTGGAACTGTCTGCAGCAAGGAAGACCAACTGCCATGGGAAAATGGGAGGCATCTCAGTAAAAGGATGTCAGGAGAAGCTTGTTAAAATATTTAGGCTTATGTAAGGTTATTTCAGAGGGCAAGGTGATCAGGTTTGCCTGGGAAACTCCCCAGTCCTATTCAGAAGTTTCAACAAAAGGTCCTTTGCCTCTGCATTTGGGGTTATCACAAAGTAGAGGTAATCTTTTCACTGAGTATCTTAGTTTGTTGTTGTTGTTATCGTTTTAATCTTAAGAGGCATGAGGAATGGGGTGAGGCTAAATCTGTGATTGGCAGAAAAGCAGTTCTGTTTGCATGGAGGGGGAGGTTGGTCATCTTTGTGGTTTGCATCATGTTCTTAGTCTTGTCTGTGTTCACGTATGATACAGAGTGGTCTTGTTTTTGCCTCATAACATCACATTTGTAAAGTGGTCTTGTTTAATGTTGATTTTCTGTGAATTGCTTATGTTCAAAACGAGAACATAATGACCTAGCTGTGAACAGGTCAGCTCCAAGCTGAGCTATCAGAGGATGCTTCTCTTTTTTTAATGAGGTAATTATCTTAGGTATATCTAGATATGAAATAGTAATAAATAACTCAACAATAAAAAAACCAACCTAATTAACAAATGGCCAAAAGACTTAAACAGGTTCCTCACCAAAAATTATACACAGATGACAAATAATCATATGAAAAGATGTTCAGCATCATATGTCATTAATGAACTGCAAACTGAAACAACAATGAGACACCACTACACACATTAGAATGGCCCAAATCTGGAATACTGAAAACAAATGCTGGTGAGGATGCAGAGCAACAGAAACTCTCTTTCATTTTTGGTGGGAATGCAAAATGGTACAGCCTCCTAGGAAGACAGTTTGGCAGTATTTTTACAAAACTAGACATATTTTTACCATATGATATAGCAGTTGTACTTCTTGGTTCTTATCCAAGTAAATTGAAAACATATGTCTGAAAAAAACCTGTACATGGATGTTTATAGCAGCTTTATTCATAATTGCCAAAACTTGGGAGCAACCAAGACGTCCTTCAGTTGGTGACTGGATAATGTGGTACATCTAGACAATGGAATGTTAATTCAGCACTACAAAGAAATATCTATGAAGCCGGGCAAAGACATAAAGGAAACTTAATATGCGTATTACTAAGTGAAAGAAGCCAATATGAAAAGGCTACATAGTGTATCATTCCAACGGTATGACATTCTGGAAAAGGCAAAACTATGGAAATAGTAAAAAGATCAGTGGTTGCCAGGGGTTAAAGAGGGAGGTGGGATGAACAGTAAGAGCACAGAGGATTCTTAAGGGAACAAAACTACTCTATATGATACTGTAATGGTGGATATATGTCATTATAAATTTGTCCAAACTCATAGAATGTATATACCATGAGTAAACCCTATTGTAAACTACGGACTTTGAGTAATAATAATGTGTCAATGTAGGCTCATTGATTGTACCAAATGTACCACATTCTGAGGCAGGATGTTGACAGTAGGGGAGGTTTTTTTGTGTGTAGGGATAGTGGGCATATGGCAACTCTGTACTTTTTATCCAGTTTTGCTGTGAACCTAAAGCTTCTCTAAAAAATAAGTTTATTATTTAAAAAATTACTAAAAGCATTGTCAGAAATAGAAAGTTAAATTTTAAATTTCTCTCATTTATTGCCTTTATGACAGTAGACAAATGATTTACTCTCTTTGAGATCCAGTTTTCCTGTCTATAAAATGGAAATACCATGTCTTCTATACCTTAAAGTTGCTGTGAGTAGTAAATGGCCCAATACATATGACAGCACCTAGTACCCTATCTGAAAGCAGTGGGCTCTCATAACTCTTGACTTTCTTCCCGCCTGCCAGAGTGATCTTTCTAAAATATAAATTTGTTCACGCTATTAATATTTCCCTTCAAAATACTCTCAATGACACCATTTTTTTTTAAGATGGAGTCTCACTCTGTCACCCAGGCTGGAGTGCAATGGTGTGATCTTGGCTCACTGCAACCTGCAACCTCCGTCTTCCAGGTTCAAGTGATTCTCTTGCCTTAGCCTCCCAAGTAGCTGAGATTACAGGTGTCTGACATCACAGCCAGCTGATATTTTTGTACTTTTAGTAGAGACAAGGTTTCACCATGTTAGCCAGGCTGGTTAGGCCACTCCTAACCTCAAGTGATCCACCCACCTCGGCCTCCCAAAGTGCTAGGATTACAGGCATGAGCCACCGCACCCAGCCAACCCCATAATGTTTACAGCTGCACTGTCTAATCTGGTAGCTGCTAGCCACAGTGGTTATTTAAATTTAAATTAATTAAAATTCAATACAATTAAAAATTCAGTTCTTCAATTGCACTAGCCACATTCCACATGCTCAACAGCACATGTGGTTCATGGTTACCATATTGGACAGCACAGAACAGAACATGGCCATCATCACAGAAAGCTCTATTGATGGCACTGGCCTATAGGATAAAATTAAGGATAAACTTTGCCTCTCACTGCCTTCTCCAACCTCAGCTTCAGCACTTCCTGCCCCCATGTTTTGCCCATCTTCTTGCACTATGCACACCAAAAATACCAAATGAACCCTCCTCTATCTTCGTACAAGCTGTACCCTCTCTATAAAATGCTCTCTCTCTTCCACTGGTCTCAACCACCTGACAGGTCCTACATGAAGATTTGGCTCACTTTCTGCCTTTTCAAGCCTCTCTTGTCCACCTCCAGGCAAACCCAGGTAGCTGCTTCTATAGGTTTCCACTGAATTTTTTATTTAACTCCAACATAGCACTTAGCACAAGGCATTTGGAATGTTCTGTTTCTTAACTTTCTTTACTTCTTAAGCTCCTTAAAAGCACAAATCAGGTCTACTAATCCACATCCCTCTAGCATCTAATACCTTACACATAGTCAAGCATGTATTTTGGCCTTTGGTCTCGCTTTTCTTTGAAAAGACTCCTCAGTCCCTGAGATTTAAAAATATTCTCCCATGTTTTCTCTCTACTATTTTGTTTTCATATTGACATCTTTAATGTTTCTGAATGTTATTTTGTTGTGTGGTACAAAGTAAGGATTTGACTTTATTTTCCTAAATGGTTCTAGATTCCTGTCATTCTTCCCCTGGCATATCACAATTACTCTTCACAGGTTTCTCTGTCCCCTATCTCACTCCTTGTTCTACCAAAATGATTTCTCTGAAAGGCATATATGATCATGTCAATCCCTGTGCAACCTCCTTAAATGGCTCCCATCAGATTCCAGAAAAATACAAACTTCTTAACATCAGTTAGAAGGTTTGGGACAATCTGACCCCCACCCGCTCTCCCTGTACACACTTACCATCCTTTGTGAACCAGCAATGCCATCACTCTCAAGCACTAGTGGCTGAGCCACCCTCATTCACACCTCTAAGCACATGCTCTGCTTTCAACAGGTCCCAGACTTTTGCTCTCTTCCCACCAATCCTTGCTCTCTGCTAGGCTAATTTCTATGTGCTCTTCTAGGCAAGGCTCAATGTAGCCTCTGTTTAACACCAAACATTGAGAGAAGTCACTTACTATGCTAGGCCTAATGATACAAAGACAATCTGACATGGCCCAGTCCTCAAAGACCTCCCTCACTGCCCCTCCCTCCCTCACTGCCCCTCCCTCCCTCACTGCTCTTGCCCCATGTGTGGATAAGTGTCCTCCCTCTGTGATATCACAGCAGTTCATACATCCCTTTATCACAGCTCTTGACCATCTCCCCAAGTAGTCCATGAGGGACACCACTTTTAATCTTTAGATCCCAAGCACCTGCCACAGTGTCTGACATATCACAGATCCTCAATAAATGTCTTCTGAATATAGAGAAAGGGTAAAGATTGCAAAAAAGAAAAGACGAAATAATTTCTAATACAAATTATTCAGGAGCAAGACTAAAAAAAGACAACAGAAATTATAACACATATTTCACATTAACTAAATGCAACAGAATATTCTACAGTATAAAGTTCTTCAGAGCAAGCCATAACTGGTCTAAAATATAGAAAAACAAATCTATGTTTTGACCTATCCGAATGATGTCCTTTTTCTCATGCAAGACTCTACATTTTTAAGCTGAATCCTGAGACAAAAATCACCAAGCCAGAGAAATCACAAGGTTAGGGAGAAAAAAAGAGTCCCAGGAAAATTACAGAGTGCCCAATGAGACTCAATAGTGTGACTCAGGAACTGCCACTCCCCTCTGGTCAGGCATGAAGCAGGGATCCAGTGTATGGAAAACGACAAGTCTGCAGGAGTCTGCCTGGCCAAAAAAGGAAAACCAAGCCCTAGCCACAGTCCCGTGGGAAGGGGAACAAATCAAACAGAATAAGGTTTCAGTGTGACAAAGCCTTAGTAACAGGACTCATGGTCAAATGCCTCCTGGTTCCTCAAAACCCCTCTTCGAAAATGAGTCAATGTCTATACGACACATTATTTGACATAATTTTATAAGTTGCTACCCTTATAAAACTTATATAATTTTTATAACACCCTACCTTTGGTGAATATGCCATAGAACGATATTCTTGCAATTTAACATTCTAGCATAGTAGTTTTCCAAGTTGGCTGCCTAGTGGCACCATGAGGACAGATTTAATAAATACTGTTACCCAGAGATTCTGAGTTAAC